CGGCTCCCCACTTATGTAAATGAAGCCTGGGAAATTCAAATCCCGGGCTTCATTTGCAAGTGCGGTATGCCTACATTACCTTCCTAGTTCGAACTCGTAGGGTAGTGTAGACATACCCTGAGGGAAGTGAGGTGTGGGAGAATAAAACTGAGCTCTGGAGAAATGTTTAGCTAGAGTTTCCCCTACAATATGTACCAGTTCCGACTTACATACAAATTCAACTTAAGAACAAACCTACAGTCCCTATCTTGTACGTAACCCGGGGACTGCCTGTATATTAAACTAATGGGATTATTTTAGTAAAAAGAACTGTTTTCCCTTCCAAATCTGCCTTCAGTGTGAACCCTGCACATGTCAACTGCTGCTACAATAATTGTTATAAGGAGTCTGAAGAGAAGATGCTGATAAAATCGCTGTTTGTATCACATTGGTCTCTCTCTCTTGGTAATACTACCATCACGTTGATCACACAGCTGTCACCTTAGGGGCGAGTGGTATACAATATTCCCTTTAATTTTTTCATCCATGTGCAGATTTTTTCCATCCAGGTGCAGAATAAATTATGTGCACCAAGGCATGTGCAAATGTGCACCACTAGTAGAAACACAGACCCTAACTATGGGTGCTCTGCTTATTAGCTAGGTGGCTTATGAATTTCTCTTGATCACCCGCACAAGTGCACAACTTACATGGAACACTACTAGTGAATTCTGTAACCTGGAAACTAACCAGAGTGGATGACAGGGTACACAAAGCACAAGGAAAAATGCTGGCCTTTCCTGATATACAGAATGAGATTCTTCCAGTGTGCCCTCAAAAGAAGTTTTTACAGTACGTGCTGTGTATTGTGAGGTCTTTTCAGACCTTCAAACTCAAGACTCATAGACTCAAGACTCAAGACTCAAGACCCAAGGAAGCGAGGGAACAACCAAGTGACAGATGCTAGCACTTCAAAAGACTGCTCATACACCAGTTATCCAAGTTTATATTCATGTCAAACCCAAACTAAAACCCTCCATTCTTCTGTACAACTATTCTTTTGTACAACTGTAGTACAGGAACAAGAGGCACAAAATTTCCAGGTACTGCTTGCTAGCTATCCTCAATTCTCTTTTACATGCTCTCCGTGATGAAATTACCAGACTCTTAATGTCTTATTCTTTCTGCTGAAATTCATCAAGTGACAGCTGTGATGTGCAAATGGGAGAGAGATTTTATTTATTAAATCATTATTAACTTCATATTTTTAAACAAAATCACTTTGCCATGCTCCCTGCCTCTTATTCTTTTCTTTTGAGGGAACATTTGTACAATAAATTTACTGGCAAGAATGTTTGAGAAAGCTGATTTCAAATGATAACTGCAAGTATTCAAGGAAGCCAAATTATAAATTCTCACATGCAAATGTTCACATACTCAACCAATTAGGAAACAGAAATAATATTGTGTGACTTATCTTATTAAACACAACAATAAAAAGTGGTTATCAAACTCTCAGCTTTAAAAAACTTCTCCAAGAATCTCAAATAAGTTCAAAGAAATACTTGTGAGGAAATTCTATAATCTGTTTAGTGATATGCACCAATTCAGAAGAGCTTAGATTACTTTATTACATTATTTGTTGCAAATTGTTATATCATCTCTATAAGAAAGTGAAAGAAGGCTGATTTCACCTAGACGGTTTTCAAAATGAACACATACTTTTACATAGAAACAGGCTAGCACCTCCACTTTAACTTAGAAGAGCAATATCTGTAACCAATACCTCATACAAATAATATAAAACAATTTTAAATTGCTAATTTTAAATTGCTTAACATGCAAGCCAGCTTTCAGAAAACAATCTGGGCAAATTATCTAAACTGAATGAAGAATCACACTGCTAACGGAGTTTAATATCCCTGCTTGGACATCACTGCCCCAATCAATCAATCAATCAATCAATCAATCAAACCATTTGTAGGCAAGAGAAATACACTCCGAATTAACAGTTCAGTAACCCAAGAGGAATATAATTTTTTAATTAAAAGAGGGATGGTTTTGGGGCACAAACACTTTCTCTGCTCATGGACAATACAAATAATATATGGGATATAGCTGAAAATATAACTGCAACATAAATAAATAATAAAATAAATAAAGTTCCACACAGAGTGTTTTCTTCCTTATGCCCAGAAACATACAAGAATATGTGGCTAGATTCTAATTGAGCAGCACTCTTTATTACCAATTCTACATTACTGGGCATCCAGCTAATCATTAAGACTGAGATTTTATAATCTTTACCCAAAGTGCATTACCCCGTAAACTGCAAGCTGTCCTAGAGTAGAAGGCAGTTGTTAGTGCGGGTACCAATGGCAGAATCAGTCCCATAATTTTAAAATAATTATCTAATTCATTCAATTAAAAGCTTGTTTATGACTAATTCTGTTAGAACTACACAGCTTCATGGAATCATCAGCATTTTTCTCATTTTACAGTTTAAACTCTTCTTTCACAAAATGGTGTTATACAAGCTCAATCATTTGTATAAAATGTTCATGTCAATAGTCCACCATTACTGGAATATGTTATCAAGAACAAGAGGAAGGGCTCTGAAGAAGCACTTCTGCCTACTGAAACTCCTTATTACAACCAACCACCTGATACAAACAACAAATGAACAACTGTTCAGTGATGATAAAGTTGATATGAAACCCAGAATTAAAGAGATACCCAAGCACAGGGCTTGATAAACCCAGAATAGCTGGCACAGAGCGATCTGCGCATGTGCAGAATGATCTGCGCATGCGCAGAGCGCAGAACTGTGAGAAACTGTGCAGCTGGCGAGCGGGGCTCGCCGCCGCTTGGCAAGCCCTGCCCATGTACATCACAATACCTGCTATCTTAAAGCAAAGAAGCAAGCTGGATCCTGACAATTAATAATGACTATTGTAATTGCCTGCATGCACCATCTTGTTAATCATAAGCTATTTAAGCAATTCATACCTTTGTACTCCCACCGATTGCACTTCCGTTATTTCCACAGTGTTCACAAATGAGACGGCCTTCAGACCTCCGTATGAGGGTGACCTAGGCATCCCTGTAGGAGATGATGGGGCCTGATGGCCTGGTGACTTGTAGGAGCCATTGCTCAGCCTGCCCTGTAGTGCCTGATGGGACTGGACATTATTATTGGCTAAATCGGCTTGAAGGGAAGTTGTGGAAGTCCTTGGTGCCCTGGCCATTGCACTTGAGAGGGAAGACACAGAGGACTGCAGTAAAGGGTTCCTTGTGCTAAAACTGGTTCCAGTCATCAAATTGTCTCTGGAGCCATATCTTATCACCATGTTGCGAGCATCTTCAGACAGCGCATTGACTTGTTGAAGGCTATAAGAGCTAGGGGTGTCGTACACACCTGAGTCTGCAAACACCGAATCTGGGTGAGAGTGGAGGAGCTTCTCCCTCTCTTCCATTTCTTTCCTCTCCTGGATGGATGCCATGATGGTTTTTGAAAGGTTGTCATAACGGACGGGAGAGGGGTCCCGCTGGTGCGGAGCTGGGCCTCCCAGCACTGGGCTGAAACTCTGTGGAGCTTGGCGCTGCAGCTCACTCCCCCGGAGGTGGCACATTTTGGCTGACAAATATGGCGAATGGTACCCAACGGAGCCGACAGCAGAATGGGCTATGCATTTCCTCCCAGAGGGGGATGTGGGGTTTAGCAGACTGTCATAAGACAGACTTCCATTTCTGTTTGACAGTGAGCTAGGGGAAAAGACGCTTTTGTAAGGGGTGGAAGCAGCCCCTTCCGATTTTATTGGATGAAGTGGCACTTTGTCTGTCCCTCTCCTGCTGGCAGACTTCAAGCTCAGGGATCGCGAATTGACGGCAAAGGAGTCTATCTGGAGTGGGGAAGATTGATAAGTCTTGTGAAGGGAGCTCTTCCTGTAGTTCGGGATGTCCAGGTTGGGCTCTGATTGGAAATCAAGGCTCTGGTTGTTTTCTTCAATCAAAACTCCTTGCTTGTGTCCCTCCTGCATGGTGATCTAAAACAGAGATGCTTATGAGAAAGGGAAGGCACCCCATGATAGGACACAGCACGCTGCACCAATTTGCTTCCCCTGATGAGTGAAAAGTACATAGCAATTCAAAGGGACGTGTGGTTCCTGGACACCAGCACTGCTACTACAGCAGCGGTGCTGACTGGAGCCCCGGGTACTTTAATTGCCGTTGGAGCCTCGGGTGGCGTGCTCTGGGTGGCACTGAGGAAGGGGTCATGGTCCAGACGGCACTGAGGGACAGCTGCCCCACCCTGCCACATTCGCCTGAGGACTTGCCCCTTCTGGGAGTGTAGATCCAGCCTCCAGCCCCACTTTGCCCAGGGGCCTAGCAAGTCTGTCATGTGCCTGTGATTTGGTTACTGTGACTCTGCAAAAAAAAAAAATGCTTATTTAATCAGAAAGTCAATCAATACGTATTTTCTCCTTTCACTTATTTATAGAAAAGGAATAATAAAAAAAATGGACACAAGGGAGCTTTTATACCCCTTTTTACTTCCAGGATGTGTTTTTGAGCTGGAAAATAGAGAAATGTACTACCTTCCTCTACCATGGAAACAGATGGGCTTCTTCTCTGGAAAAAGGAATGATAGACTCTGCTTAACGGGGAAGAAATGATGCAAGTGGTTGGCCTCTTCTTCTCTCCCCTCCCCCGTTGACTATTCTACTCTCCCTCTCCCCATTAGATTTTATTGCTTATGAATGGTGCTAGATTGACAGGCTGAAGGACAGGTACAGCTCAGGCAGCAGCAGCACAATCTTTTTCACACCAGTCTGCCATTGTACTTGAATCCTGAAGCAAGAGGAGAGTTACATCCCCCCCCCCCCCCCTAGATGTGGTATGAACACCATATATTTTCAATGCTCTAAGACTGCCAGTAAGGTTCCCATTTGGTACCAGGTTTTGTGATGTGGCCACTTGCTTGGGCAGCATGTGAACCACTGGCTGAGGGAAGCAAGCTCCTGGCCCTGTACATGCTGCCCAAAACCCTGCCCATCCTGGCTCCTCTCCTTCCCGGAGCCAGGAGCCCTCCCACCAGGGCCACTAGATCCACACCCCAACTGAATGCCCTTAATCCAGGAGTGCCAAGTTGTGCTGAGACCAAGTAGGCCTCTGCAACTTCAACCCTGGAGTGGCAGACAATGAGTCTCCAGCTGCCCCAAATCCCAGGCCAGTTTGCCCTAGTCCCAGCCCAGACCACAGAGGAAAAGCAGGTCTGGGGATTAGACCACTAAACTCATTTTACACAGGCCAGTCAGCTAAGGTAACTTTGTATTCTAGGCTAGACTGGAACTAGAAACCTAGCAGTTAAAAGGCATTACACCCAATTACCAGAACTTGCCACTTCCCTGGTTTGATTAGAATTTATACTGCAGTATATTCTTCAGTTCTCAACTGGAGAAAAAGGTTCATCCATTGTAGGTTATGTCAAGCACTGGAATACTGTCAGTGTTGTGCTATCCTGCTTGCACACATCAAAATTGCAGGTTAGGTGCTAGCTGATGCCTATAAACGTATTTGGAACTCACTGGTAAGCCATTTGTCAGGTAATAAGGTGAAGATGTGATAATAAGTTTTTCATACAGCCAGCTATGTGAAGTACTCATGTTCTGAAATGCTCCATTTCACAAGGCAAGTTAAGACTTATTCTGAGGACAGATCTGGAAAGCCGGATTTACATGTAAGATGGCAGTAAGACTAAAATCTCTAGTTTTTAAAGCTGCTGAAAAATCAGAGATATGTAAAACGAGTAGGCACAGCTCTCATTTCCAAAATTAATAGAATATTGCCAAATCCTTTCTTTCCCCCATCTCCATCACTACTGTTTAGAATAACCCCTTGGAAGCTTGAGTATGATTTCTTCTACTTCTACCACATTCATTTCCTTGATTGAAGTTACACCCTGGATGTTATTGTAGGATGGCAGTTGGTGTTGCTCCTGAGATTAAATTTAAGGAAATAGTATTGGAGCACAGATTGAATCACTATAGTCTGTAACTCTCTAGTTCAGCAACATCCGTAGTCTGGCATGATATTACTTAGTCAGATGTCCACTTATCATGAGTATGGCAAAGTTTCACGCAGTCCCGAAAAGTTTGTTTGCAGCACCAGTCCTGGCTCTCAGTGTTCTGAGTTATTTAGTTCTAATTTACCCCTAAATGTTTTCTAACAGCCCAGGAAGCAGAGGATGTTTTGGTAATGCTGCTAAACAATATTTACCTCCAGTGGTCCAGTAAATTCTATGGTTTGGCACTGGACAAGTCTTGATGGTGCCGGACTAGAGAGGGTCAACCTGTATTTGTTTAAGGGAAAATATCCCTCTATATATAAACATTTGCTTGGAATTTGCTAATGTACAAGATAGGACAAACAAGCAGCTTCAGATCCTATTTTCCAGGACAGTGTTACTTTAACTGTTATTACCTTAATTTTTTTTCTGTTGGCAGAAAATATAAGGGGTCATTTTTAAAAACTTTGACCCAAGCTCTAAACATCTGTTAAGGCAGAACATATGTGCATAACCATATATTCATTTTAACAATAATAGGCACAAGGAATCCCACAAATAATTCCTTTAAATTATTTTGTTTTGTTTTGTGAGTTGACATGACCCATATCATCAGAGCATATAATCTGTTGGCCTAAAGGGCTCAATCCTAAAATGTACTAAACAGATACAAACAGCTATTGGCATGAATGGAAAGTAGCTTTCATGTCATGTAGTTGAAGCTGATGGGTGTTGAGACCTCTCAAGATCAGGTCCATCATTTGGTAAAGCAACTGGACATTTTTCAATAGGGTATGATAATAATTACAGTAATACTGAAAAAAAAGATGACTGAGCACAAAAAGTATGGTACGGTCAGTGTGTACAACACCAGCCTGTACAAAAGCTATTAATATGTAGTTCTGTACTAGTACATTCACAACTGCCATGAGATGAGTTTATCACCAAGTTGAAGTATCCTACTCAGGCCCACTGATGAGGAGGGAAAAGGGAGCAACTGCCCCAGGACTCAGCTATTCAAAAGGGCCGTAGAGCCCTACACAGCATGTTCCAAGTGGCACTGAGGGCTGGAGAAGGAGGTGGAGCAACATGGTCTGTGCAGTGCTGAGGGCTGGCTACCCCAACCCTGCATCTTCTGCCTGAGGTCCTGCCCCTTCCAGAACCATGGAGCTGGCCCTCCTCCCCCGCCCAACTTTGCCCAGGGGTCTGGCAAGTTTGTTGACTCACCTGAGCCTACTGCTAGTTTGGGACAGGTTCTTCTAGACTATTATGACAAGCTCACCTGCTCAGCTGCAGCATGATAGTGGACTTTGGGATTGTTGCTGAAAGCTGGTCGATACTTATACATGGCAGGTGTTGGGGGACTGATCAATTTAGGTGAAAGACCATTCTCTGGAAAAAAAGATATTAACAGACAGTGTGTATTAACAGTATGTCTAAAATGGCACACTCATAAATAAGATTACAGAATTCCATATAAATCCACAAACCCGATAAATATACTTGACAGTTTATAAAGTGTGCTCCAGACCTGCAAAAGATTAAAGCTCAGTGGGTGTGTGCGTGCGCATGCACAGTACCACTGAAATCAATGGGACTCCACACAGAAGTAGCTATACACTTGCTTGTAACTCTTTGTAGGACTGGACATGTATACATGACACAGTCTGTGGCCCACAGAGCTTACAGTCTAAATGAAACAAGAAAAACATAAATGTCCTTGGCAGCTAACTAGTGCTGTCAACTTATAATTCCCCCAGTTGCAAAACACAGTTAGGTGCAAACAAAAGAGCCCCACATTCAGGAGTGTTTAGCTCTACAAAGTTCAGGCCACAATCCAAGCCCACCAATTCAGGGGGAGAAGGGAAGGGATGGGGCAAAGGGAGCAATAGCCCTGGGGCCCAGCTATTCAAAATGTCCCATGGCTCAGACTGCGGCCACTGCTACTGTGACAGCAGCCAGAGCCCAAAGTCCTTTAAATTGATGGAGCTCTGGCTGTGCAGTCCTGGAGCTGCTGAAGCCCCACCCCAGCCACCTGATGCCCCACCCCTTCTAGGAGCACAGAGCCAGCCCCTCCCTACCTTGCC